CGGGGAGGCCTGCAGCTGTGAATATCAGTTCACGTCCGTTCAAATAAGTCTCCCAGGCGCGACGAATTTCCGCAGTAATTCTGTTTTCCCGAACGTACCTACAACAGCTGGGTCTTAGAAAGAGGGATTTGAATGGTGGTAGTAAGGAAACGTTATTATGAATTGTCAGGAACCTAAATACGCTACAATACTCACATATAGTTTATATGAAGAGAGGTGGCGCTATCTAATACGGTAGGTTTCATATGCTTTTGTTTCCTTCATTTCTGAGCAAAACGGTGACTTCAGAACCACATAACAGTGCAGTTTTCACACGCACTCCTGCAATAACACAGCTGTAAATTAACACCAGCACACACCGCCCCACTGCTAGATCACCTGCTGATCACTAATGATCGCTCGGCCGTGCACCCACAGTGATCTGCAGACCGGAGGCCACCGACCTGAGGCTCAAGTCGAATACATCGGGACGGCCAAGCCCACGCTGCTGTGTTTCCCTTACTGCCGAGGAATTTGTGATGATGAGATTAACATGAGCAATGCGGTTTGTAACAGGTTACCTGAACAAACAGTCAATGGCCCTACCTATACTTTACTGAGCAGTGAAATGAAATTATATTCTCTGTATTATTCAATAAATACATAAACACATCAAAATAATTCTTGGTGATGATGCAATTGGAGGCTGAGGACACTCACACGCAACTTAACGGGAAAAGTAAAGTTTCTGGATAATAATGTCCCAACCTTTCGACGTTTATTCCCTGCAGTACCTCCACCCTCAGGCGCCTAGCGGTTCGATGCGGTACTGCAGCGCAAGGGTGACGTGACGGAAATACAAGCGCAGGTGCACGGGGCACAGCTGGCGGCTGGAGCTCGAGGGAGGGATCACTTCCGCCCGTTACCATGGATACTGCCTCCTGGCGGGCGGCGTGGGGCCTCGCGCGTCGTCGACATTTTCTCCTCCGACGGGCGGTTGTCCGATCGGATCGCATTGTTGTGCGGGAATCAAGCCCAACAACCCCGCACGCAGGGCGCCTGAGGGTGGTGGTAGTGTGGGGAAGAGATGTGGACAGCTTGTGACGTTAGTATCCGTTATTAACTTTACTGACGGAGTTTATAATGAAAGTTCGGGAGGGATGAGAACATCCAAGTTCAATCAGACTCGGCTGTCAGGAATTGGCAATTGCTCCTGACGTCCATTCCTCTCTCATCTCGAGCTCCCATCTCTCCATCTTGCATGTCTCTTGCATCCCATCTCCACCCCATCTCCCTCTCTGCTGCTGCCCCTCGGTCATCCCTCACTCTTCAGGGGGTCCCAGCCTCCTCGTCCTCTGTTACCCGAACGTGTGAGTGTCCTCAGCTTCCAAGTGCGTCAAGAGCAGTCTTCATCCTAACCGTTCAAGGATAGGTAGGAGTTGAAGCATTTTTTATTTTCTATATGTAAATTTAAACTGTTTATGCATTACAAACATTATTTTAATATCATATAAAGTGTAGTACAGGAAGGGTCATTCATAC